ACAGGAGGGAGCGATAATTACACCACAATTAACTGCGCTGCACCACCCCCAGGTCTTGCCTGCCGAAAGCCGCCATCCAAACCCACCGGAGCAGCCAGTCCAGGATAAATTCAACGGCACGCTCGTGTCAGGCATCTGCGCTTCGTGCCCCCGATCAGCGATCGATACGGTTTTGATATCAAAACGAAGAGCTCCGGTGCGGGAACGCCTTGGTTTCCAGCGCATCCCACGCTAGCCCAAACCCTGCGGTTCTGGCCCCGTTTCACGGCAAAGGCGAGCAGGGAAGCGTTGCTCCGGGTGGGGAGCCAGCGTCAGCCTCCCCGGGGGGGACCGAGCGGTGCCGGAGCAGGGAGGCACCGGTGTGAGGTCAGAGGGGCCGCGGTGACATCACAGCCTCCGCGGCGAAGCGAGCGCCCGCCAGCACCCAGCCCTGGGCTGGGGGGAGGGAGAGGGAGGAGGGAGCAGACTTTATCAGGCTCTAAGGGGGAGCTGGATCGACCCCCCCAGCTCCCACGAAACACCAGTGAAACATCGCTCATTCCGGCCCCACAGCGCTGATGCGCATCAGTAGCGTTTTTGTAAGGTTTGAGAGAAAAGAAAAAAAAAATCCCCCCCAACGGGTGCTGTTCCCTTTGCCACTGAAATTCCCAGCTCCTTCGCGCTCTGCTCAGAGGCTTGGAAAGCTCGTTTCCTAAAAACCGGTGATTTGATTTAGCACAGGGATAGGAAAAAAAAAAACCACCACATCGAACAAGGGCTATAATCCACACGCTTCTTGATAAAAAATCTTTCCTGATATCTGAGCTGGCCACTTACGATAAAACCATGTTAATTCTTTAAAAAGAAAAGAAAGCTTCCATCCTGACATAAAAGCAGCTACAGCTCGTCACTGTAAAGGACACTTCCAACCTGGCAGAACGACCGTGATTAATCAGCTTGTTCGTATTGCCTAAACAGTCCGTAGAACAGGAATTCAAAATAATAATTCAGAAATTATAAAATTATAGGCGATAACATAACTGGAGAGCTCTTTTCCATTTCTCTTTTGTTTATTGTTGAAACTTGTCAAACCACTTTCCTTTTAAAACAGATTCTTTTGCGATGAAAAGGCAGAGTCCCTTTCAGCAGACGGACTTCCAGAATGAAAAATGTTCTAATTATTATGTTTTTCATTACATCCATTATCCCCTAAAATTGTTTTTGTGTTTATCTCTGCCAATCAGCAGCAAAGCCAGGGGACAATCTGTTGTCACCAGCTTTTTCTCCTCCAGGTACATTTGTGTGGATTTTTGCGACAGTAGCTCCAGCTGAGATAAGAACCATCCCCTGCCTGAGCTTTCTTTGATGTTCCCACAACAAATATATATATTAAGAGAGATTTGTTGAGCGAAATTCCACTCACGCTCTAGCCTAGAGCTGAAATTGCCAAGGGAAAATATTTCAAAAATTATCTCCTTTAACATTTGCTACAAGTTTACCCTCTTCACTGCAAATAACGATACAAAACTCCGCGTTATCTTCCCTCGGACCACGGCACATTTAGCGAAGTAAAGATCACGTAAGGCTGTGAAAACCATCTTCGGTGTCGCAGGCAGGAGAAACCCCAAACGCTCCGGCAGAAGAAGCCCCCCCTGCTCGCAGTCCCCCTGCTCGGTCAGACGACGGCTCTGGAAACCGGACACTTACCTTCCAGCTCCCCCAGAGCAAACCCACTCTCCAAAAGTTTGCAAGCAAAAAAAAATATATATAACTCGGGGAAAGACAGCGAGAGAGACAAGCAAGGTCTACCGGGGCGATCGCTTTCAAACGCGTTTATTCAGGGCTCCTTCCCCCCGCTGCCTTTTTCCTTGGTTTCTTTTTTTTTAAAACTTTTTTTCATGTGCCATTTCCAATACCTTTAAAACTCACTTATTGACCTAACAGTGAGCAGGGATCTCACCGGGGTACAGCTACCGAGGCGGCCGCGGCCCCGGGGACTGCCCAACGCGACGAAGGCTGTGCATCCAGGCGGCTCCCGCCAAGTGCGGGCGCTCGGGGGGCTGAGGGCACAGGGGAGGGACGCGGGGGAAGGTAGGCGGCTTGCCTCGCACGCCGCCTTCGCACCCCGGGCTGCGCGGAAATTCGCTTCTCGCCAAATCTCCCCTCTCCTTCGAACTCGAAAAGACGGGATCCGCGCTGTTTGGTGG